ATATTAAACTTTGTTGGGTTAGGGGAGGGGTAGGTGCACACTTGCTGAGATACTGACATTAAATTAAATCTGAAAATTTTATGACATAAAATCATATTGCTTTGCAAGAGTTGAGCAATTTAAGTATAAATAGGATACCATTCATCTTGCAACTTCATCAGGTCTGCATTTTCATATGGTCCAAATAACAAGCCTTTTCTCTCTTGTCGACAGTAGTAAGATCCTTCAAGATCTCTTATAACAGGTACTTCATGTTCTAGAGCTACAACTTCAGGAATGGTAGATGTGACAATGTATTGATGGTGAATGGCAACCATTGGAAGCTCATGTCCTGCCATTCGACCAACCTCGCGACCCCAGAATCCTACATGCAACAACAATAAAATTATAAGTAGCATAAAATAGAATAACAAAAATAAAATTAGGTAACCACTTGATGGTGTTCACTATCATGCTGTAAATGCATTACATTCCAAATTGCATGCATTGTGACCTCAGACCTCACCAAATTAAAGTGGCTCTGCACCCTAAAATACTTACACTGAGAAAATAATTAATATTGTTTTGACAGACAATATCTCAGCTGACCATCATAACGAAATGTCTTATCAAGCAACTTGAGATGTAAATTTTATGCAGAGATTAGGCATTTCTCGCATACTACTAATTTTTGCACGTGTGAGCCACCCTAACCATCAACACTTTAACATCAGAATGCATATTCTCCATACTGTTCTCTATACATTTCCTAAGGTGCTGACAAGGAGAATTTGTTTAACAATCAAGAACTATTTTATTTGGTGATCATTTCCTTTATTCTTACAACCGTATGTTTGATTCAGGGATGATATGTTGTGCTGAGAAATAAGACAGTGGTCACTCTCAAGAGTCAAAGGGTTAAAACAACAATTGCAGATGTTCAGTACTCTGAAGGAAAATGAGAAAATGTAATTTCATGTACATGACTTGCAGACATTTCTATTTTCATTTTTATTACCTGCAGCATTAACCACTTGCTTGGCTTTGATGGTTCCATGTTCAGTGTGAACATCCCAGCTACCATCAGTTCTATGGTTCAGCCCTGTGACAGGTGCTGGCAGGTAAAGACTGGCTCCATAATTTCTTGCTCCAATTGCCAGGGCTTGTGTCAGTGAGTAAGGATCAATGTGGCCATCATCTGAAGAATTTTAATATAAATTAATGTTACACCACTATAAAATTACAGCCTTTATATCTAGCCTGACACACCTGACTATCACCAGATCTAAATAAATGTAATAAAGCAATTGAGCATGCTTATCTGCCAAGTTAAATACAGTCAAACCCGTATTAAGTTATCACCCACAAGAAATGGCATGGTGACCCCTTAATACAGGATGAATGCTCAATAAAGGTTCCATAGAATAGGGGTAATATAAAAAACCATGATTAAAAACATCATTTTATGCCATAATTTACCACTACAAATATTGATTTTGGGAGATAAAAAACTTGGATTAAATTTTGCTTGAAAGATAAGTCTTAGTTCTTTTTTAGTGGTTCCCTTTGATTGGCTCTTCAATACATGTGGAGGACAATACAAAAAGCCAGTTGGGACTCCGCAAATGGTGACCATAACTGCTTAATTAAAGTGAAAATTACAGTAATTAATGGGTAAATATATCTGGACTTTGAAAAGCGCTGTTAAATACAGGGTTCCACAGCAAATAATTTTCAGATATACTGTAGTCACTACAGTAAAACTAACCAGGATTAAATAAGCCACCCAAAACATCATCCATTTTAAGGAGTGGATGCATCTTTGCAATTTCATCAGGAGTAACCAACCACTGGGGTGCCTTATGCCATCCTTGTCTCTGCATCTGGTATTTTGCTTCATCCATGCGTTCAGGTGTTGTACACAGCCGCAAACTGCCTGGAGTATGGAATCCTACATTCTATGAGAAATACAAACATAAACTTATTACTTGTTGTGTTCACAAGAGCTAAGATTTTCAACATTTCCAACCTTTCATTAATATTTTCAAAAAACCATTTCATTAAGTAAGCCTTTTTCCCCATACTGTTCTCTATGTAATTACTAAGGTGGTGATAGAGAGAATTTTTTCTTTGATAATCCAGAGCCTCTTCACTAGATGATCATTCTTATTATTCTTGTGACCTCAAGGTGTGATTCAGCAGTGAAACTGTAAGTAAGTAAGAGTAATTACAAGCTTGTCTTTTATAGAGATCAAAGGGTAGGGACAATTTTATTCAAACAACTAACCAAAAAGTATATATTACCAAATAGATTCCAAGTTGCCGTGCTTCTGTTCAGTAATAGATCACAGATGACGTCAAAATGTGGTAAGAACAAAAAAGTGGCACACGAGGCGCAGCCGAGTGTGTCACTAATGTTCTTACCACATTTTGATGTCCTCTGTGATCTATTACTGAACAGACGTACGGCAACTTGGAATCTATTTGTTTTATATAATAAAGAATTAAAAAAAAGCCTTAATGATGATGTCATCTATACGTCTGTCCTTCAATAGATCATAAGTGAGAACCAATCAGAATGCATGCATAACTGAGCTTATTATATGAATATATATACACTTTTTAATTACCAACCTCTTGACCAAAAAAACTGAAATGTGATAATGTTGACCAAACATTTATAGTTAAATCTTAATTACCTGCCCTGTTTCTTCTTCCAATTTTGAGTAAAGCTGAATGCTGTAATAGTGAAGATGTTTGACATTTATTCCAGGGTTGAAATATGTTGTCAGCCCAGCCTGTTAACAGATATGAAAACAGAAAGATGTTATTCAATCTCAAGCATGAGTTCCCCTTAGGATTCAAACCTAACATGTTCAGATTTTGCAGTCAGATGCTGTCCCATTGAGCTACAAAGGACCTCTAACTGAGATAATGCCTTGAACTAAAATTATATGTGTCAGATACCTGTGTGCAAGAAGGCTCAGCCATGCCAGGAGCATAAACTGAAGAATGATGGTATACTATGGCTAGATTCCCTATACTCAAGTCCATGTACATCAAATTTTTTGCTACCCAATGTGTAATTACAATTCAACATGCAATAATTTACTCTTGCACAAATATGCAATCTACTTACTGCATGCCATGTCGATCCTGCTGTTAATTCTGATTTTTCTAAGAGCACAACATCCTTCATGCCTTGTTTGGCCAAATGGTATGCAATACTGGTGCCCAGAACACCACCCCCAATGATAACAACTTCTGCATCTTCCTTCAAACGTTTGCTCAGTTTAGAAGAGCTTAAATGGAAAAATTAAAATTAAAGTACTGCACAACACATTAAAATAAATCACTTTTTTTTGTATACAATTTAATTTTTTTCCAATTTTAGTGAAGCTAGAATGTCAGATAGCAATGTTCCTACCAAACTTTTAATCAAGGAAAGAAAAATTCTATTAATCCACATTTAGCGGAGGCGATCGCAAGTTTTGTATGCTGCACTTCTTTTGTGAAGTCTTCTCAAACTTTTAGAAACATTTTACTTTGTGTAGGTGTTCATTCAATAATAATGTGCAATAAAATACAAAATTTTTATTGAAACGTTTCACTCTTAGATGCGATGGTCATCGTGTAAATATTTCGTTAGTTAAAAACTAAACTTTCACTCGAATCGATCTAGAAGATTTGACGACAATTTTCGTAAATTAATAGAAAGACATGGAAATGTATGACATTGACGTGACCAGTGATCAGAGACTCTCTACGATGCCTGTAGCAATTTTCGCCTCCGCGAAGTTTTGAAAGAACGAACCATCTACCTTGAATCTGAGCTTCCACGGCGTCGCGAAGTAGAAGATAGGTAAGCACATCGCCTTAAACTGATTTCAGCGCAACTACTTCGAAATATTCCACGCAGTAAATTACCAGCATTGAGTACGCTCGCCATATTTACATCCTCTGCTCTGTTTCCGTAGAGCAAGTTTTTAGCCAGTGTAGTACTTGATTGGATTAAATACCGTCATTCATAACAGATTGACCAATCATGAGGGATTTCTGGAGCATCAACCAATGAAAGCATCGCTTTAATGAGAAACCTCAAAAACGCGCTAAACAAGACAAAGAAAAGCAGGAGTGGAAACCGGACAAACACGTACAATTGAGCATAAGTCAACCGACAAAAATTAACCAGCAAGGTTTGCCCACGAGAGTCTTAGAAAAATACGGCTGTCTGTAGAGTGATTTCACACAGGCATATTTATCCTATTCAGAAGTACGGAAATAAACGCAGGAAGCAAAAAATGAACTGAGCAGCCTTTCAAGAACAAATAGCAAAGTTGCACAAGAGAGTATGGGAGTAGGGAGCGGAACGGACTCAGGAGAAAATGAAATAAGAGGCAAATCACGACGAGTAGTCGTTATAACGAGTAAGATGAAATCAGAAAATTAACCATTTCGTCAGGCGTTGACTGTTCAAAATCTGTACCACGAACGTATGCCCTCATTCAAATCCAGGCTTCAAGATTATTGTTCGCGTGATTTGAAGCTGTTTTGTTCATTGTGGTTGATCTTCATCACAATCTCTTTTGGGCTTATTTTACACATTCAAGGTTTAAACTGAAAAACGAGAGGTTTCATTTTTTACCAGCCACTGGTATATGATGATAGCTAAACAAGGAAAATTATGAGCCACTGAGTCGACAAAAAATACTCATTGGCCTTGCAAATAATCCATCTCTCTTATTGGAATTGCAAAACATAGCGTATTTTTTCGGTTTGCGCACTCTGATTGCGTTACATCATGGTCGTAACACAAAAAGTGAGTTATTTGCATCCTGTCACGGTCGAGTGAACATTCTTGGTAGCTGCGAAGTAGCGTGAAGATAAGTGGATGTAATAGGGATTCACTGTTTGTTGCTGTTTCTTCGAAAGTTTAAAGTGTTTTCGGGCCTGTGCTATCCCTGTCATTCCTCCTTGACGAATTCGTTTCGAATTCAAAACTGCAGTCTTGCCTAAGAATCTACACAAATGGCTGCAGTTACACTCACAGCCGATGGCTGTGTGAATAACAACAAATTCATACCTAGGCGCGAGTTATGTGTTAAAACGCATTACATTTCTAATCTTTGAAAGGCTTCAAACTATGACGTTCATCGAACGCTCGAAAACGGGTTTCAAGTTACAGAGTAAAAAACAGTGATTGCGTTTGTCCTTGAGAATTATTGAATACGCGACAAATACGTGCAAAAAATAATTCTACACATTCAGAATCAATCAAATTTCTTGTAACTATGGTGAAAGGAAAAAGGAACAGCATAACTTTTACCGTCAAGTCAAACTCTGCCGATTTCCTTCGCGTTCTCACTGCCACATTGAAAAAAGAACGCTACCACAATGCAGCGCAAACGGAGTGCGCAAACCGTCCGTCTTGCATGCACGAAAATATTCACCGAATCATCAGAAGGTCAAACACCTTGAATAAATCATGTCAGCTGAGAAGATTCGCCTACCTTAAAGTAAATTTTCTTGTGGCGCTTGTTTTCACACTAAGATTTATCTAGCTTCTTATCTAATAATCCACCCCGCAGAAGCGTGGAGTTCTGAAGAGATTAGACACTGTCGAGGTTGTCATTGGGGATGGCGGCTTCCTTTACTGCATGGAGCGGCGTGGTTATGTTAAAGCAGGCGCCTGGACACCAGAGGCTACTGTAGAACACCCAGAAGCTGGTAAGTAAAGGGAAATAAGTCAAATGTTACCCTGCCGTCGAGCCTTGAAGCTTGAGGTTTGATTAAGATGCAAATGACCTCATCACCTTCAACAAGAGGCGAAGGTGTTACGGCCCTTGCTGCCTCTCTAATCATCGGATCAGCAGACAATATGTTTCTCCTCTTTAGACTGTTAATCTTTGTTTTGACTTCATTGTACGAATGAAAAACCCTCGTGTATTGCCCTTGTCTTCCAATAATTTCACAAATGCAAATTTCTATCGAATCGTTCAGTCATGACCCCGATCAAGAGATTGTAATAGAACAAGAGAATATCAGCTGTTGATACTCTCTTGAATGTAATCTCTTGCCCCGATAGACGACGAGTAATTGATCTGGGGGAATGCGTGACCAAACATTTCACTGACAGCATGAATCTCTAATTTGTTGCAGTTCGACAGCTTCACAGTGAATTTCTGAGAGCCGGAGCTGATGTAATGCAAACATTTACATTTTATGCCAGTAAAGACAAGCTGGAAAATCGCAGCCATTCAGCTGGACAGATCGGGGTTAAAAAAAGGGTGTAACGCTTTAAAAACCTAATTCATGCAGTTGTGTGATTATTCCATTGTCAACCGGTTCTAAGCCCAACAGTCCGCCTTCCCCATAAGATCAAACCATTCACGCCAAAAACAAAATAAATACATAGATAAATGAACATGTTAATAGATAAGGTAATAAAATTTAAGAAGTAAAGAACAGTGGGCTAAGTTTTAATCTTGGACCTAAAAATTTAAGAAAGAACCCAAACTAAACACTTCAGACATGACTAGCACATAGTGAAAGAACCGAAACAGCCAAACACCTCTTGATTCTGTACTCTACATATCTATTTGATTTATAGTATGAAGCCATAAACCAATCTGCGTGCGTACTGGCAAGGGATGTGGCCAGCAAAGGAGATGCTCTGGTGGCGGGGAACATCTCACAGGTGCCGGATTATCTAAGCGGGCCTGGAAAGGAGGTAGTGCAGAAAGAAGACAAACGGATATTTTTATCCAGAATGACGTCGATTTCTTGATAGGGGAGGTATACAACTAAAACTTTCAACTATTATTCCCAATCGATGTGTACGCAGAGCCAGGAATTTCTTATTTTGGCACTATGTAATCGCCATAGACAATTACAACTACGTTATTTTTTGTAGTATCTCACTTTTTTATTTTCGTTATTTTGTTGTTGTTCTCATGGAGAAGGGTAGGGAAGGGGAAGGTGAGATCACATCAGAACAACATCTCTCCATTAATATTTCAACTGATAAGGAGAAATAGTTTCCAAAGCGTTGAGTTTTTCTCTTCTCTTTTTCAGTTGACTCTCTTGGTCGCACAGGAATGAGTATATTTCAATTTTGTTAACAGTTTAACTTGTTGTGGTTCATTGTTTCATTTATCAGCTGTTTTGGTATGTTGAGCAAGCCGAATGGGCAACAGAAATGATAAAGGCCACAGGGAAACCAGTCGTTGTGTGTCTGTCCATCAGTTTAACCGGCGATATGACTGGTATTCTGCCTGGGGAATGCGCTGTTAGAGTAGCACGTGCTGGTAAAATCCCAGCATTTGTTTAGCTGTCATGAAAGAAATGAAGACTGCTTTGGAAAAAGAAGGTCTTCAACGCCATCTGATAGTGCACCTGTTTGTTATCACACCCCTGAGCTGACATATGACCGCATAGGATTGTCTGGTCTGCCTGAGTTCCCATTTGGTATGGTATAGTTTCCAAAAAATTGATAGTCGAGATAGCTAGGAGGTGAACAATCGAATGCCACATCTTAAGAAAGGCGTTGGCCCACGGTTATCGCGCTTTTTTTACGGATTTAAGCCCTGTATTACTGGTTTCGCCAGCTTGAAATGTCAAGGCATCTCAAAAATATATTGGGTGGTCAACGGAGATTCAAAGAAATTTTACCTGGTCTCAAAGAGTAGTATCATGCCTTGTTAATTAATGCCATGCTAAGCCGAGTTCAGCTCTGGTTTTGCAGTGCGCTCGCTTTTCCCTCCTCTTTACTCACTTCTCTACACTTTCGTATGCTACTGATACCTATATAAGATATCAAAACATCTTTCTTCATTCCCTTGCTACCTAGCTCTTGAATCTCGCCCAATGAGCCGCTAGGACGTGCAGAAGTACGCTCGTGAGGCGTATGACATGGGAATCAGGTACATTGGAGCCTGCCGTGGATATGAGCCTTATCGTGTTCGAGTCATAGCGGAAGTGGTGAGACAAACATCATTTGCCATTAGTTTTTTTCTCTTTCATAACTTTTAATTTAGTTCTACTCGGTATGTTTAACTTTTAATGTCACTTTTTTCAAGCTCGCTAAAGGGAGGGGTAAATTACCTCCAGCTAGCGAGAAGCATGGCCTGTGGGGAGACGCCCTACGGCAGCACACTCATCCGTGGGTTAGAGTTAGGTGAGACAATGACCCATCGATGTAGCTAAGAATAAATGTAGTGATTTACCTTAGAGAAAAGCCAATTATATTTAGAATCATATTATTTGAGAGAGACAGGAAGGTTTTAAGTGTCATACGAAAAAAACTCTCTAGCTAATTAAACCAAGTCTCTCCCAATCTCCTGAAGTCCATGCGGCCTAAGTATGAATGCTATTAGCTATCCAAGCTGGCAGGAGATAAGGATAAGGCAGGTGACCCTCCTTAAATCTCTGCTTATTCCTTTGGATTATTTTACTCGTGACTTCACCGTCCAGGTAGTCGTGGTATTTCTGAAGGACAGATTTTCCTTTTTCCTCCGGGAATTTTGGTACGAAGTCTAAGAGACGGTCGTAATGCATTGCTGCCAGAGTCATGGATAGGGCTGATTGAGTCTGTAGACAAAAAAAATTTAAAAAATGATGATCACAGAGTCAGCAACGCTCTTCAATCCTGAGTAGAGGCGCTCAGTAGCTGGGCGAATGAATCGGAAAGGAGCACACTGTAAGGACACGAGTGTCCAGCGTTGTCTTTGGTATACAAGTAGGCGACTTATGTAAGAAACACTCACCATACAAGTGACATTCCTAGGGAGGTTAGTGAAGCTGTAATGACCCATGGTTGTCATCTTATCTTTGTACAGTTTTGTCGGCGAGTTAAACGTCAAAGCACCGTAATGATTCACGGGATAATTGATCACACTATGTTGTGCACTTGTCATCCACATAATGCGAACTAAGTGACTTGCTAGACAAAACTTGGAAGTAATTTTTGTTGGAAAGCCCTTCACCTGCGGTAAATTTGTACAGAAAGCAGAATACAATAATTTGTAGGAAAAACCAAGAGTCACAATACCTCTGTATGAAACAAATATATACACCTAATTCGATGGTTTAACTTATGATACGTGCGTATATTATGCGAGTTGAAGTGAATCAAGCGATGATCTTTTCCTTTAACTCTTGAGAAGATATGATATACATTCACAAAGGTTTTGTACTAGTTCCAGTAGTTCCAAACATTAAGGGAAGACCTAAACATGAAAAGACACACGAGAATATCTTTGACGCCCTTCGAGGTCCTTGGAAATGTTGTTGAAGGATTTGTTGTCAATGGAAATTTTAGAACTGACGACAAGAACGGAGAAGAAAGATCGTGAATTCATTGAATAACTTTCAGACAATTTTTTTCATTTCCTCCTCTATTTCCTTTTGCCATTCCTCCTCTCCAGTCACGTGACAATACCTTTCCAGATCCAACTGAGACATCACGTGCGAAATCTTGCAGCTCTTTGTCGATCATAACTTCTCTATTGGATCTGTAATACCTTCAACCACACCACGAATGTTAGAGATCGATGGAATAAAACTAGGAAATAATCCAGATTGACCTACTTCGATTGCAAATTGTTTCTGTACACAGAAACCCCAAAACTAATAGTTGAAAATCCCCAATTTGATAGTTTCCATAGCATGGTGCTGGCACTTGGTATTTCGTTTGTTAGATCTCAGATGCAATTATAGCTTTTCCATCACACTGCCAATAAAACTGCAATTTCCTTTCGTTAGAATTTTAACCCTCGAAAATCAAGTTCAGTTATGAAAAAAAATAGCGAATTATTGATTGCCAAAAACATCACGGTACAAGGACCTTAAAATTGCATTTGAATGTTCAGTCCTAAACATTAGCAGTGACACAGACTTTTGTACTTGAAACTCATACTAAACCTTCGTAGTAACTTCTGGAGGTGACGTTTAGAGATAGAAGGGCCTTTTTTCCTACCTTTTACCTTTTCCAGGGATGAAATAACCCTTAAAAACTTACTTCCCAACGAATTCTTTGACCATATTCGACAGCGAATGGTAAATCAGAAGTCCATCATCTCTGTAGGGAAAGTAAGGCAATTTCTCCATGTCTCCTAGGCCTCGTTTCTTTGAAAAATAAAAACTTTTTTCAGAGGAGTTTGGTGCAGTCTTGTTAGATTTGCTTTCTAGTTCCCTTTATTAGAAAATGTCTCCCGTCTTTCACTATATTTTAATTCTCTTTTTTTTCTTTTGTTTTTTTTTTGCCGTAAGTGCTTTTTACACTTTCTGTAGTTGTCCACTACAACCGATTTGGTTTCTTTGTTACTATTACGTTTTAAGGAACAAAATTCTTATTAAAGCACCAGATAGATAATTCAGCACCAACCTTGATATTGGCTAAAAAGTCTGTTTTTTCCCACGAAAGGTCATTATAGGCTCTTCTCATCATTGTCATAGCCCCTTGTTGACCAATTAACATGAGCTTATCGATGGAACCATTACCCGGTGCCATCAAAAATGGATGTCCAAGCGCGTTCGTTCCAAGCAACCCCCTACAATGGTGCTTTAATAGCTGGTGAAGAGGGTGCAATTTCGACAGGCGCCGATGCACGCAGACACAAATGGGCTCCATATACAAATGAATCTTGAATAGATGCTCTACGATTTGAGTTTGAGCGTAGTCTGCAACTTGGAGCACATGTTTAGCCATCTGCCATAACTGGCTATCTTCTGGGGTATAAACTGGAGAGTCTAGAGGCAATACAATTAATTAATTAGAATTGATAGGCAATTTTTGCATGCCTGATCTCAGTAATGTAACAGAACACAGCTTGCTGAGGGTTTTCCCTATTTCCGCGTTCAGTGGTGTCATAAGAAATCTTGTCATGTGTTGAATTAACGACCATCATTAACGATCATCATGGAACAAAGAATAGTAAATTATGGTCTTTATGGTTGGAACAAAGAATAAGACAATAATTTTTTTTTGCATGTGCTTTAGTAAAGTGTGAAATCTATCCTGCATCTTTGTTGTGATCTGTTGTTCCAAAGTTTTTCACAATAATTGCGTGGTAATGTAGTAACTATGCAAGTATAAAACTCTGTAGATATGATACCTGGAGAACTGTTTATCTGAATGGCCACCGGTTTTAGTCTATTTGGGAGCCGTTGATGACTGGGTTTAGATGCAAATATGGCGATGGGTGAGTTTGCCTCCATCAGTTCTCCAAAGGGATCGTCAGTTATCGGATTCAGTCCGTCGTATAAAGGATAGTGTACCACATAGATATAACCTCCGCGTATTGCCTGTTCAAGGTGCAAAAGCTTTTAATTAATCTTTGTGGTTGGCATATTTGAGACAAAACGTTTTGAACAAAATTTTAGTGCGCATTTCTCTGGATTCATACATTCATCGTACGAGGCGTTCTCTTTCCCCATTGGGGGGGAATTAACTAATTATTTCCGGGATTAGGCGGCCAGATACCACCGTTTCTAATTTATTGAATGTCGAGGAGGACATTTTCAGCTTAAGCGGTTAAAAATGGGAGTGATTTAACTTCTAACGAAGCTTCGGTCGTGACGCGTGCATCATCATGCGCACTCAATCTCGTCCCAAGCACTGAATTTTAGAGAGATGACACAATCAAGGGAAAGCACCTTAAGGTTGAGTTTAGCGGGCACCCCTAGGAAATGTAAGCCGCGAAAACAGGATTCGTTCACTAACCACGTCCAAACCCAACCCCATTCCCAGCGGAACAGAGCTATAAAGAGAGACGAAGACTTCAAAGCCCATAAATAATGTCCTAAGCTGGTGCACGTACCCAATAAATTGAAATGCTCTTCCCAAGCACGTCTTGTATCGCTCCTTGCCAGTCGAATGTTGGATTTAACTTTCTACGCAGTGTTCTCCAGCTTACTCCTCCTCGCCTGCCTGAAAGGTTCAAATGAAAAGGAATATCTGCGAGGATGAAAATCCTCTAAAAGGAAATGATTAATGCTATAATCTCTATGAGTGCACATTGTAAGTTATCGCACAGGCCTAGTCACCTGAATCCAATGAAACCCTCTGAATGGCCATTGGATTCATGCCAGCCAATCGCTGATCAGTAAAGACATCATCATCTCTCCAAAGAGACAGATCAGATACATCTTTGAATGGGCTGGTTGTGTCTTCAAAGGCAAAACGAAAAAATTTTTGGTCTTCCTGCAGAAAAAGGAAATAAGCTCATTAGACACCAAGACAAAATTGCTGAAGAAAGTATATGTAGACGTAATTAACGTAATGAAACTATGACAGTCATAATTGACAACAAATTTAAGCTAGGGGAGCAACTCCTCAACAACATGACACAACTTACTCCCTTTGGGGAATTTTAAAAGTCAGCTACACAAGGCCCAATACACAGGTAACTGCAGGTGGATTAAACTATCAAAACTCGATTTAAATAGAGAAGCATTATCTAAATGTTTAAAACTGTCGCTTAAGGGTTAAGGGTGATCCATACCGGAAGAACAAAGCGTGGGTGTCGTTGACCTGCAACGAAGAACTTGTATATTTTGTTGTAGTCAATATCTTTTCCTCTACTTAAATTAACGAGAATGCGGAAGAGGCCGAAGTTTTTGTAAATAGTTTGGTTGTATAATGAAATCCAGTGACTATCCAGGGGGTCTTTTTTCAGCAAGAGGAACACTTCCCTTGGGTTCTTGTTAATGCGTGGAATCGGTAGGTGGTCATTGCCTTTGTTGAGCTCGTAGTCTTCTCTGGTTTTAGCTGTTTCTTGTTGTCTCTGGGACTGGCATTTTTTACTGGCCTTGTCGGAAGACTCGATTGGACAGGCAATGGCTGTAAGGGAGGAAATATCAGTTTCGAGAATTTTATGGACCAAGTTCTTTATTATTTAGAGGAACGTGTTTCAGTTGTTCCTTAAAAATATTCGTTGCTCAACCCTTTTTCCTTACAATGAAATGTTTGTATAGCCATGATCTAGCTATGATAAGGAGCACTGAATCTAACTTGACTTTGGATCTTCCATCAATTCTGAGGCCATTTCCCACAGAATTACATAGTTAACCAAGGTAAGTTAGGCCTAGACATTTCAGTTTTTCGATCTAAATTTTTTATATTCCTTCATACTAAGAGAAGCAATACAAAGTCGTTCCTGATCACTTTTCAGTTCCATTCCATCACTTTCTTCCTGTTTAACAATCATACTGACATATCTCAGGATAACCATAAATCCCACATTGAACTCGAGCCTTGAGAGAAAAGGCTCAAACAAACTCGTTTCAATACAATTCAATTTCACCAACGGCAGTTTCCAAACGTCAGTTGGAACAGTATTGGTTTTATTTAAGTTGTCACATGATTGATCTGGAAGACTAGCGTCATTTCTTAACCAGTCATATGCCAACTGAAAGCATCGCAATTTGGTCTCGCGAGTTTTCTTACGCTTTAGCCAGTCATGTGGGTTATCAGTTATCTTTGTTTTAATAGCGTGGTTATCGGACCCCTTCTTGCGATTATTATTATTTTGTTTATTGACACCTAATCAGAAGGCGCTTTTAACTTCGTATAGGAAAACAAACTGAATTCTGACCTGACGGCTTAAGCGAGTACAGTTCCACAGAATCCTCTCCTCCCACACCATCTCTGCAGGTTACAGAAGTTTCAGAAACTTTCCCTTGCAGATTGTCACCACCTTTACACAGACCTCCATGTAAAAGACCAAACTCGGCGAAACCCTTTTTTAAGGCAAGCTCAGCGCATTCACCGATATCAGAAGAACTAAAGCGTCCAAGATTAACACCAGCATCTTGTATTGACTTTGCTCCGTAGCAGCCTTCACTTCGGAATAATTGTGGCTCTAAAGTAAACGGAAAAGATTTCCTGTTTGTCAGCGGAAGTTTAAGCTACTGCTTTTGACTGTTTACAATGCTTGACAGCCTTGTAAAATTGTAAGATTACACAGGAACAGTAAGCGACAATGTCTCTATTCTACCACTTTGCATTATTTGTGAGAATATACGACGTGTTACAGTTAGGGTTAAAACGAAAGAAATTATGGGCTTAATGAGGTGCACTGGCTATTTCTGGCCAGAAGAGCTTCAAAAAAACCTAAGCCTCTTCACTTCTCAGCAGTTACCATTTGAAAACTAATTTAAGATGGTGAAAATAGCTCATGAATTTCATCAAAATTAACCGGATACAATTGTGTAAATAGCTCAAGAACCCCTGCCTTTTTTTAATCCAAAAAAGTTGTCTACTAATTACAGAATCGGTCAATTTGAAAGTTCACCATTTTCGAACCTGGATTAATATTTTTATGTTCTACTGACGGAACAATGTGTCGATAGTCAACTAAGATAACAATGGCGAAGTGGCCTTACCCACGAATTAAAAATTTAGTAAAAATTTATTCTGATTTTGATGTCAATGCAAATTATGAAAATGAAACTGATGTCCTTTCCGAAACATTCATGAAGTTAAAGTTGACGGACTGAATTTTCCCCAATTAGAAGAAAAAGCGGTCTGATTCAAGTTACATTTCCATTCGCAGGCTATGTCAAATTACCTCAGGTCTTGGAGAGGATTGCGGCAAATTCTCTCGGGGTATACTGTTAAACGTTCTTCTTGAAGAAGATAATGAACACCCACAAACATTTTGCAGAACTGTTTCAGTGAAATTGTCCACTTGCCGACAGATGATATAAGGCGGCTTGTTATACTAGAGAACAGGTAACTGATGTTTATTCAAGTAATTTTTTCTTATCGAATCTCTGCCAAGGCACTAAAAATTCACTAAGGAAACCTTGAAGGAAAAAATCTAAGTAAACTGTGCGAAAACCTGAAATTTTCAATGTTTGCCTTAAAAGTATTGTATTGCTTTTTTAATTTTTTTACAAATTTGGATAAACGTGCCATCGTTCTGTGTTGAGATAATATGCTTAGTAATTGATTCTTCTGCTTGGAATTGTAACAACAGAATTTATCAAAATCCAAAGAGCCGGCTATCGTTGCATGCTCTTTTTACGTGATTGCAGGTGACATTGGAGAAAGTTTCATGAAGTAGGAAGCAGTCACGAAAATTCAAAACAAGTATCTTTCAAACTGAGGGTGGAAATGATGGGACAAAAGGTCGCGTTGGTCGCAGTTAAGGTAGACGTGTACCAAAGGAATATTATTTACAGTGAACAGATGCATCCAGCATGAAATAATCTAATAAAATATCATTTCTTAGTTTTCTTTGACCAGCTGTTATTTCCAAACCGTTGATAATGCAAACAATTTCGGACAGAGACAAAGTCGGTGTTTTTCACTGTTACTATCTTTGAAAAATTAAATCGTGCGGTTTTATGGAAATTATCATGTTATAGTGACTTTCTGGTAACTTCCTAGGTCGTTTGTTTTGCTTTTTGTGTTAGGTTCTATGTTTCAATTGAATAGCGACGGCTCGTTGGGTTCTTGGCAACGTTGTAAAAGAGAATAAATAGTTATGTTTTGCGCAATGAAATAAATAGAGACGGCAGGTTTGATTGCCGAGGTATCTCGAGTCTTACACAGCTAAGTCGTAGAGACTCTCAACCTTTCTAGAGGAGCACGAGTTCGACCCTTGCCTGTTGCGCATAAAACTCATTGCGGGTCACTATGACTCGAATGATATCGAGTGGGACTCACGCACAGTCTTCGACTGAAGAATCTGTTTAGTTTGATTTTCTTCCTCTACCGTGAACACTAACATGAAACCCGCTTCTGAAAACTGGTAATGCACGCAATAAATAACTTAAGCGTGACTTCTTGAAAGGCGACCAAAAGTAGCCGAGTTCCCGAGAATGATTTTTGGTATAAGTATGACTAGATATACTTTTGAAAATGACAGGCTTTCAGCCATTCACTAAACGATTGGAAGACAAGTAAGGAGAAATGCGTCAAAACGGGTTTTGAACACAAGGCATCATGAAATAAGATCAATTACAAAAGCGAAGTAGCACGTTCTGTTTTGACTCGTCCTAAAACTACAAATCATGATCCGAGATCGTTGTGTTTGGGTTGGTTTTCATATGCGTAACTAAGTAAAAAATTTGACACCATATGTTTTTCCGTTATTGAAAAAAAAAATCAAATTCTCGTCTTACCCGAGTCTTCGAGAGCTCCTTTGTCGACAGTATTAGAAGTTTTTGTCTGGGACACTAAAATGAAAAACAACGTTATCTTACTTAACATGATGGTGGAAAGTAAACTGGAGCATGGAGGACTCAAGAGTTTAATAAAACTGTTTGCCTCTAGTGTTCGCTTTATAACTTTGACAACCTGTCAAGGACCAGAGGTACTATGAAAAATTGAAAGTAGGCTATTGGTTTTTGTCGTCTCCTTTGTTTTCAAGGCCCGGCGGGTGACAAATTTGAATCTATTTCTTGAAGAATCAGCATGTTTGAAAAATAATAAATGACTCTGCATTTACATATTTCCAGGCCTTAGTTACGCAGTGCAGTTGTTATGTAGAATTCTGATGAAAGTAATAAAAGGTTTCCGCAGAAACTTAACAGCCGTACTTTTACTAAAACTCGACAGCGTCAATCGCTGTAGTCAGTTCAGCAAGAAATTTAGGGTAGCTTGTAGAGGAATTTATTTTTTTATTTATGAGTATCTTGCGTGCCTCAAAAAAACATATATTTGTTTCTTTGCAAAACTCTGAGCTAACGAACAGAAATCAGTAATAAAGCGACAGCCACCAACGTTTAGCTTTCTTTCATTTCGCCAGCTGCCCTGTCATCTTCGTCTCTTCGACTCTCAGCAAACAAAGCAAAACAACATTTCAAAAATTAAGTTTATCGTTTCATGAACTATTTCTACTACAAGGAAAACATTACACCAAATTGTTACCACAGAAATTTCGCTAGCTCATGGTTGGACAAGAAATGATCACAAATCCACAAACTCTTTACATCTTGCTGGTCTGCTGCGATCCACAATTTAATATCACTTTCAAAAGAAAAGTATAATCGTTTGTCTCGCGATGTGGTCACTTCGAAAATGAATCACGACATTTCGACTGCATACTGCTGGTTTTCTTCAGGCGATGAGGTCCATTGAGCACACGTCACTTATAGATTGGATGAAATTCCATGTATGTGGTTGGCGCATCTTCGGAAGGTTCCCTTAGCCGTGGAATTCCATCCAATCACAGCTGAGCACAACTCTTTATGGGTGACGCGTATTACTCCCCACGGTGTCAAACCCTCCATTTTCTCTGTCATTGAATTGCATTCAGCTTATCGATGTTCATCGTTCTGTCAAATTTTGAAAAAATGTGTATATACGGTTCAGAACCACCTTAACTTATCAAAAATTAAGGTGGCTCTGACCTGTCTATGCAGATTTTCAGAGAGACACATCCTGATATGCCACTCCTGAGCACGCCAACAAGACCGGTCACCACCCACTTTGGAACGAAGTAAAGTTTATTGATCGAGACTCACACTGGTAAACCAAAAGAGTCATGGAAGTTATCCACATAAGACTTCACCCTGATAACATTAACAAGGATAACGGAATCGATATTCCTGAAGCACGGATACCAACGATCAAGAAACACAACGGGAGACCGGTACGAAAGCAAACCGCCGAGGGAACAACTTGGAGTCAGACCTCTCGGAAAACCAGAACTCACCGGAACAACGGGGATCGAAATCCGCCAATCGCATTAGATCGCCGTGATGCAAATGGTAACGCGCGAGCAGTCGACCCCATCGTCTGATGAAGACTAACAGTAAGCAGTCGAAACGTCGCGATCTACCTCTCAAGTGACTACCTCGTGAGACAAACGATTAAACAGTTTGATTTGCCTTAAGGTTACTTTCCACCTTCGGAGGCCGAAAGAGTAGCCTACGTGAGCCGTACCCTCCCCCGCAAGGTGAAACCTACACGTAGGCTACAGAAAGAATAGATTTTTCTTCTATTTGACTAGACTGAATTCAAACATTCAACCTAAGGTTTCCATACAAAAATTTTCAGAAATCTTTAAAAGCGTCCGTTATTTAGAAAAACGTATTTTCAAATAAAAGGTAATCAATCTGAAGGTTGCCATCGGACCTGGGCGAATCCCCCTAAGAGAATTTTCGCAGCAACCGCTCCTGTTTGGGCACGTTTTTCATGTTATTTCCATACTTTGTTTACATCACGCACATTACAAAATTCACACGTGGAATCTTTGCTCATGGAGATCAAAAGGGGAAGAAAGTCCATGGTACAAAGAGAAAGAAAAAAAACAGGCCCAAAGAAGAAAGAAAGTACCATTCTGTCAAGAAAAGAAAAATTTCTTTGTGAAAGTGACTGGTACTGACGGAGCTCCACGCTGGGGTTCAGATTTCGAACAAAGAAGTCGCCGTCAAACCAAAACTTGCCATACAGGATGTTTAAAATGAGGTTTCCTCTTCTGTATGCAAGTACCAGCCTTGAAACAAAATCTTTAATAATCACCTCGAATTGTGATTTTGAAAGCTGTATGGCGATTCGTTGTCTCGCCTCTCAACACATTTTCCGGTTTTACCATTTTTTCCGCGGGTTTTTCCTTTGCCTTTGGCATTTTTGCTCATTATTGTGTCGTCCTCCTCAACGTTCTTTGAGCGATCGAGATAAAACAATAAACGTGTCTGCGATAGTTACTTTTCCCAGGAAATCTTGATCCATCGTCATTGGCGCCAAGAGGTTCTGTTGTCCTCTTGGTTTGCGGTTTCAGGAGGCGAGATAATCTCCTGGCGTGGCGCTATTGTTTGCGAACCTTTATGAGGTAAAATCTCGCATTTCTTTTTGGGAGGAATACAACCACTTTGAGCGAATTTATAGGATATATAGATTTGACCGATTTTTTCACATTTCGCTGAAACATTCTAGGAATAATGGCAAACGAAATTGTGTCGGGAAATTTTGATATTTGAAATATTTTTCCTGTGGCGTTTATTTTCGCAACACACCTCGCATATTTTTAGCTACTCCAACTTAAGATGCCCATATCTAGACAACTGATCAGAATACCGAGAAAGCGCGACGCACTTTCGTTGATTGATGCCTTGTGAATAAGACTGGCAGCCGTTTTGCTCGTGCTGCGGCGTCGTTTCACGCCTTCCCGGCTCCTGACACTTTCTTAAAAGAAATGTCGCTTAAATCTTATTTTTATCATAAACTGCAGTCAATAAGCTTTCTTCTGATACATAGTTTGCTAGGATTCTAGTGAAACCAGCGCTTACGAATCTTTTCCCGAAGGACACCCACGAAGGTGGGAAGTAACCTTAACAACGAAATTTTAGCTTTTCCGTCTCTAAATATGCTGCCCTTTTACCTAATTATTTTGGTCCCTCAATTCGATTTTGTTTTTTAGCTTTCTTATCAAAAGACAAGAATAATATGTAGAAATGTATTTCCCATCTAATACAGCAGCACGAGGCCCCGAGAAAACGATGCAACTAAATAGCTAAACAAATTTTATAAACATGGACGAAGAGTGACCGACCCATGGTAACCTATAAATTTCCCGCCAAACACCTAAATATACAAAGAACTGATCTCATAAAAACACCCGACCCTGGTGCGTTAGTCAGAATATGATTTCACACCAATTCATCCTCACAAATTTCATATTCTCAGCTAACAGTTAAAATTTTTGCTGACACTCGCCCGTCTGGTAAATTATACCACATAAAGTTCCAACAAAATACGCTAAAATTACGTTTTTCGTCAAAAGCTACCTTTCCTTTATTGCTGAATTTTGATTGCATCCCAGGCCTCCACTGGACAATCAAGTCGACATCCGTGTTCTCGTCGTCATCATTTGCAAAGGCCCTTTATCGACAAAATGCGATCTACATCCTCTACATAGCCTAGCTTTTGTGATGCTTCTCTTGTTAAGTCTTGCATGGAAAAAAGCGATCATTACAGCTTTAACCCTACTTTGACCTCATGGCATGATAGTAAAGAAAAAACTATCAACCAAAGTTTAATAGATATGGCAGATATGGATTAAAAGCCACTAGAAAGACAGATGCTGTAATACAGAATTAAGTGAAATCGCTGTTATCCGGGACATCTGTCTTCCTCTTGCTCTAGAAGTCGCAGTCTTTCTGGATCTGTTCCCCAATTGATGGCGGTAGTTTTAATTTTGGAAAATGTGCGTTGATTTTCTAGCTGGTGTGATGTTGTGGTATCTCTAAAATTTGAATTACATAAACATCAAGAAATCTATCGAAGTCCAACAGTTAGTTCAAGTTTTAATATTCCAAGTTTCAAAATATACTTATTTAGCTTTATCAATATTCCTAATGAATTCGGGACTTTCGTAGACGAGAAGCCAGATTGGTGAAATTATCTCGAGAACGAAATCTTAACTAGAAATCGAGGTGATCAAATGTCGAGAGAAGAATGACTAGTGATGATTACATGTAAACAAATTCCTACAGCTATCTAAATCCCGGTGTTTAAAGACTTCTCACTATTTCAAGCATGATTTTTACATTATTGCTTATTTCTATATATTGCATAGTATCATATAGGGTCCATATTACGTTAATTATATTTGAGAATTCTGGATTTTATTGAAATTCCTGGATCTGGTATGTTTCAGACGACTTTCAAGGGGTAAATTGTGTTATTATTACTAGCTACTAAAATGACCTTAAATGATTGCTGGTAACATTCCCAGAGTCAGTGTCAAAAGATTACCACTGCTACTTGATCCTTGATTTGAGAAAAAATTCTACATCAAAACTTTCATTTATATTTCAAATGAACCAACTGCACAGTGTACTGCAGAACACAGACACTAGCACAAGTGATATATTTCAGGCCATTCATTTCAATTCTTTGCTAAAGCACTTCACCCTTTCTTTAAAATGGTAAATTTCATTCATTAAAACAAAACTCAAAGGTTAAAAGTAACAGTTTCAATAGCAAATTATTTCTCCACAACTACATGGAGCTCTAAGACTACTCCTATTGACACTATTATAATACAGACTTTCTTTTTTTGTACATTCTCCCTGATGGTCTGATGGTAAAACAAGATTTAACTAAATGGTAAATCAGTCAAAATTATCTTTCACCCACAATGGGCAACATGCAACACTAAAAACAACTAAAATAGCAAAACAAAGATTGCTCCTTCAAAAGGTAAAACACTATCAAGATAATAATTAAGTCTTGAGAAAAATCTAGAAATGAGCTTGCTACAACTGAAAAGTGTTCTACTATGAACACTACTATCAAGGATTACTTCAAAGTC